GGCCGTTTCACATCCACAGATCTGGCCGTGAAAAGACTAGATATTTGGCTATGAAACGACAATCATTTCACAGCCAAAGATTTGGCGTTTTCCGGCTATGATCCATGACTGGAAAGGCTTTATCGACGCACAACCGGTCAGATTTGACTAGTCGTGTCATTCCAGCGATTGCCTGTGGCGGTCAGTAGTGGTGGCTAGCTGCTGGCCGTTGATAAAGGTGATTTTGTTACAAATTAAAGTTTTATATGATTTGGGTGTTTTAGCAAAATTTCAAATGTAGAGGGTTAAAAGAAATGATTCAAAAAATAATAAAAAATGGTAACAATATTTAAAGAGGAGGGCAATTTAGTAATCGTTATAACATACCCACCAATTTATCCTCCCAACCAAACACATTAATATAACATACCCACCAATTTATTCCAACCTAATCAAACACACTTCCCTAAACATTCATAGTAATCTTTAAGGTAATATATCTTTTCATTAATATAACATTCTCAGTAGTACAACATTACCTGAACTAAACACACTGTAGGGTGCACTTGGATCAAGGTCATATAAGATAATAGGGGTAATCTTTGTTTATTTTTGCAAGATTCTGTTGTTTGGTTTGCAAGTAATAAAATATTATGGGTATCTTTTACTGGAAATAGTGTTTACTATTGGTAATGTAGAGGGTAATCTGATACCTTCCCTAAGAGGTATTATTAAAAGATTACTAGGTAATTTGATTTTTATACCTATTTTATCCTCAATTAAATACCATTTTGGACACAATTGCCCTCAAATGTTTACCAAATAACCATTACCTAGCCCCCTTACATTTGAAAATTTAGCTAAAACACTCCAGTCACAAAAAATTTAAAAGTTAACAAAATACCCCCAACCACCCGGCCACCAATGGTAGTCGTCGTAATGGCGCTTGACTGGCGGGATTTGGCCGGTCGTGCGCTAGTAAGGCTATTTCTATTTGGCTGTTTTACGGCAAAAGATCTGGCCTTTTCACGGCCAGATCTATGGTTGTGAAAATGGCTTTGCCGGCGCACAATCAACCATATACGACCAGTCGTGCGCTATTCTATCGATTGCTGGTAGCGGCCGACGGTGGTGGCTAGTTGTCGGCAATGGCTTGGGGTGGGTTGGGGTGATTTTGTAAGAATTCATGCTTAGAAAGGGTAAAATTGGTGTAAAACATGGTATAAGGTCTTATGACATGTTATTGAAACTAAAATGGTGAAATTGTTACCTTTTATGCTTTACAACTTTTGTAACTTGAAAAAGGAGTTCAAGATCTTTAACAAATTCGATGAAAATCCTCAAAGTAAAGTCAACTCCAAGAAGAAGAGAGAGCTAGCCATGAGAGCTCAAGAGAGAGATTTTCAATCAAAATGAAGATTAATTAAATTTGGGAATATCACTTATTTATATATAAGGACCATTTTGCTATAATTTGAAATTGTTCTCAAGTCCTTGAATTAATATGAATCATATATTATCACTTAATACAAATTCAATATTATTTTCAAGTCCTTGAAATAATTTCAATTTAATATTAACTCTTAATATTAAATCTTTGATTTAAACAAATTTATAATCAAGGGATATAAATTAATCTCGTTTAATATTTAACCCATTATTGAATCCAATTCAATAATATATTTTAGTCCATCATTGAAACTAATCCAATAATGACCAAATTACTTGATTACCCTTGATAAGTGCTAGCTTCCCATGAGTAATCATTCCTCACAATTACATAAATTCAGATGCACACTTTTACATCTGAACATTGTTAACCTTTAATAATATATATTACTCTCTCTTCTCATACTTGGTTTTTAGGTGTGACCACTTAGGTTCACTGTAACCTAGCCATGGGCCTAATATCACAATCCGATATGTTTCGTCATAACTCTTTATGATCGAAACTCCCACAGATCATGGTAGGCATCTAGCAATGTTTCATAACCTCTAAGTCACAATGAAGTTAAATTCCAATGAACCTTTTTTTTCCCGATCGTACATTTTATGTAGTAAAATCCCTCTATCGTCTAATCCCAATTAAGTATAGGTTCATGGTATGGCAAAACCCTTAACTTAATCTTTATCTGAATTGTCAATCAATACAATGTAACGTGCCATCATGAAACTCCTTTTCATATGACTATTTTGTACTCTGACCAGAGATTTTCTTTTTTCAATGTTTATTAACATTCGCCTGGAAACTCGGGACCAAACTATTTTGAGTCAACGGATCCCATCTTGACCATCACTTGTCCTTGCACATGAATAACATATGACCAAACTGGCTTCTTACACAAAACATGACTAGTCTCGTGTATATACACCATATGAATCATATGCATCCTATGTCAAGTCCAATCGTGATGTCTCAGGTCTAAGGATTAGTGGTACACTAATACGATTCTACGATGTATCATTAACCACATTCTAAATGTCCATATGATTCATCAAAATTGGTCATATTCGATAAATAGTTCACCAACCTTTTATCCATGCTGATGCCCTATTGATATACCTCTTATAATCACTCATACTAATACGATCACATGATATTCAATGGAGGCATTCAACATGGCTACTATGCAATTTTATTGTCCAATTAACACTACTTACGTAGGGAATGCTTCAATGATTTGATCTTCTAAAGATCCGTATCATCATAACATTTCACATGCATTATAAATAGTATAAATGAAGCAGTAAACAACATGTGAAATCAAAACTCTTTCTTCCATTCTCAAAAGAGTATTTACAAGATATAATGCCCTGAAACCGACAACACGATTGGTTCCTAGGACAACACTAACAGATTTTGCTACAAATGAAAGTTTATATGGTTGGGGTATTTTAGCAAAATTTCAAATGTAGAAGGTTAAAAAAATTATTCAAAAAACAATATTATATTAATATTTAAAAAGGAGGGCAAATTAGTAATCTAATAACATATCCGCCCATTTTCCTCTCAATCAAACATATAAATATAACATACTTACTATTTTTCGAATGAACCACCACATTTCCCTAACACTCAACAATTTTCAAAGTGATATATCTTTCCATTAATATGACTCCCCTATAATAAACATTATAATCTAAACGCACCACTAAGGGCACTCCAACCCACGCCAAAATGGTGTAAAAAACACCAAATTGGACCAACCCACGCCAAAGCACCACGCCATTTTGGCGTGGTGCTACAGTGTCGCGCCAAAATGGCGTGCCCTGTAGCGCGAATAAAATATTATATATAATTTTAATTTTGCTTTTTTTTTGTTTTTAATTTTGTTAAGTTAATTTGAGTATTAAATTTTACACCAAATTTGAGTATTTGTATTTCATTTAATTTGATTATTTTTCCTTTGTGTTGTTGTGTTGTTGTTTTTTTTTTTTTTTTTTTTTTTTTGGTATCATTTTATATGATGTAATGTTTTTCTATATTAAATGTAATGTTTATTTGATTAATAAATACTTAATTTTATTATTAGTATAATTTTTAAATAATTATTATTTAATAAAAATATCATTCCCAATATTAATTAATATATACAAAAAATAGAGTAAAAAGATTAATTGTTGATTATTCAATAAAAGAAAAAAAGGAATATTCTAAAGAATATTTTAAGAATATTCTTTTTGGTGTATATTTGGTGTTGTGGGTTGGAGATGGAATAGTGTTTTGCACCAATTTGGTGCAATTTTGCACCAAATTGGGGCAATGGGTTGAGATGGTCTAGGGCATCTCCAACCCAAAACCCAAAATGGTGTGAAAATTTTGTTCCAAACCCAACACCAAAGCCACACAAATTAGTGTGAACGAATGGTATCACACCAAATTTGGTGCAATACTATTCATCCACACCAATTTGGTGTGACACTATTCATCTACTACAAAACATGTATTATTTCCTATTTTGTTATTTATTTTTTAATTTGTATTCATATTAATTTGATTATTCTTTATATTAATATTTATAATAATAAATTCATAATAATTATATAATTAAAAATGATGAAAAGTTAAAAACAAAACTTCATTCAATGTAAATATAAACTACAATAACTTAAATAAATTAACACTAATTTAAAAACACTAAAATTAAAAGAAAATACAACATAAACTAAAATAACAACATAAAATTTTACTTTTGCGTTGTTTTTTTTTTTTTTTTTTTTTGGTGGCATTTTATATTAGATGTAATGTTTTTTTTATATTAAATAATGTTATTTGATTAAATAATGCTTAATTTTATTAAATAGTATAATTTTTTAAAATTATTATTATTTAATAAAATATCTTTTCAATACTTAATTAGTATATACAAAAATAAATAGTGAAATAAATTAATCGTTAATTATTAATAAAAAGAAAAATAAAGAAAATATTTAAAAAATATTTTTTTAATCTAATATTTAATACAATAGATTAAGATGTATAGTGAAATGTATCAAAACCACGCTACTATAGTGCGGAAGTTTTACTAATCTGTTGTTTGGGATCGGACATGGTTTAAAAGTTTATTACACTTTATAGTTTCAATCAAGTCTCGGTTAATTTTTCTTGGCAAATGTGTGGTGCTGGTTTTAAATAGTCGCCATAACTAAGTTTATGATATTAAAAATTGATGCAATGAACTTAATGTGTGAGAAACTGAGAACATTAGCAGCACCAATCAGAATCCCAACAACCCGTCCTGTCCTAAATCCTAATCACAAATCACTATGGACTCTATGCTGTGCTCAGAAATTTCCTATTGTTCGGGGACTTCGGGTTGTTTTTAGTTCCCGCTCTCAACTTTCTGTGATTTTAACCTTCGAAATTTAGTCTCTAATACCTCCAATTTCACTCATCTTTCCTCTCCCAGATTCATCTTCAACTCTGCCACCTCCGCACTACAAGTCTCTGTAGTATGATTCCTGCTATGCACACCATCTGTTCGATGTAAATTCTCTTCTAAAAAATAATTATCATCTCCCATTTTATTTCTTAAATTATTTATTCTTCTCGTAAATTTGAGAGTAGGATAGTAGTATTGTTGACAAGGTTAGATTTATTATGATGGCTTTGAGGAAGAAATCATATTTATGGATAAATGTTTTGGGAGAGTGGGGTGGGCTTCGTTTTTACAGTTCTAAATTCGACTTGAAGAAGCTGAGACCCATGATTCTTAAGAGAATTGAAAATCGTGCCAAGGACTATCCGGTTCGAGGCATGGTCCCTGTTGCACTGGAAGTTCTTAAAGCCAGAGCTCTATTGATTCAAGGCATCTCCACCCTTATGAAACTTGTTCCTGTTCAGGCTTGCAAGTAAGCTTAAGTCTCTATAACAAACACCTCTTGCTGTTATGTCACGTATTGCGATAATCTCAATGTTTTCAACTGTGGGTGTCGGGGCATGATTGTTTTGCTTTACCTTGGTTGAGAGCTTGTGAGGTTTAAAGGCTTTGTACCTGTAGCTGAGATTGCTTGACATGTGGCATGGACACGTTATGGGAAATTTCTCATTTATATATTGACAATTTTATCATTTGAATGAGAATTCATATAGTTTAGCCGCAACTTGCCACCGTTTTTAAGCTTAGTTCTTTTTAGTAAAATATTAGATGCTCTTGTGTTGCAGGTTCTGTCCAGAAGTATATATTGGAGAGAAAGGTCACTTGATTCAAACTTGTCATGGTTACAGGCGCCGAGCCAAGAATCGGGTTCATGAATGGGTCAGTGGTGGTTTGAATGATGTACTTGTTCCAGTGGAAACATTTCACCTGCAGAGAATGTTTCAACCTGTGATACAGCACAACCAACGGTTTGATTTTGATCGTGTTCCTGCTGTTGTTGAGCTATGCTGGCAGGCAGGGGCTGACCCCAACGATGAAGATTTCCACACCAGTGCTGGTAACTCTGATCGTCCCATTAGAGGGGTTAATGAAGTAGAGTCTTTATCACCCGAAGATCTGTCATTGATAGCCAATGGAACCTTAAAGGCATGGGAGACAGTTAGATCTGGTGTTGAGAGATTGTTGTTGGTTTACCCAGCAAAAGTTTGTAAGCATTGCTCAGAAGTTCATGTTGGGCCGTCTGGGCACAAGGCTCGGCTCTGTGGAGTGTTTAAATATGAAAGCTGGCGAGGAACACACTTTTGGAAGAAGGCAGAAGTAGATGATTTGGTGCCTCGGAAGATTGTTTGGCGGCGACGGCCTCAGGATCCCCCTGTACTTTTGAATGAGGGACGGGACTACTATGGGCATGCACCAGCAGTGGTGGATCTGTGCACACAGGCTGGTGCAATTATTCCAGCTAAGTATTTTTGTATGATGAAGGTGAAAGGTCTACCAGCAACTGTTTGATTTAATTCACGCCATCTGCAAGTTGCTTCTCAAGGGGGTTGAGTTGATCTGATGCATTTTAATTTTCTGATCACTTACTGCCACCTCAATTGAGCAGAGCTTTATTCACTTCCATATCCGCATTTTTGATAATTTATCTGGTATATCTCTGGATGAATCTTGCCTCTGTTAGCTAGAAATTTTGTTAGCAAATTTAACATTCTTTATCTGAATAAATTCATTCAGAGATGAAACAATATAAAGTAATGATTTTATGTCTACATCTTGGCTAATAATATTGCATGGCTAGTGCATTAACCCTGTTTTTGACCCTTGAGTTGAGATCCTAAGATAGTGTTTCTCTCTCTCTCTCTCTCTCCATCCTTCTATGTGAATTTGTTTGTGACACACAGAAGTACGGATGGTTCTGTATGAAATTATCAAATTTACGGTTAAGGCTATGAATCTAGCACTTGCCTCACACCAACAGCAGTTTTGTATCTATATTCCATGCTTCATTTCTGTTTTTATGTTAGTGTAAATCAATCATGCACTGAGAAAAACCTATTTTGCAAGCTATTGACATCAATTTTTACTTGTGAGCATATTCTTTCTTTATCAAAATATATCAGTTGATATGCTCCAACTTTGTGACAGAAACAAGAACTGAGTAAATATTTGCAGGTAAGTGTCGGCAGCCATAATTTTGTCCCAATTTTTGGCAGAAGTAATGCTTCAACGGATGATCTTTGGAAAGAAGATACTTTGTTGTTAACAATTTTCCCACCGGAGGGGAAACGGTGAACTTAAAATAATGTTTGATGATTTTCTCTCTGTGGTGAAATCCAATCATCTTTTTTACATGATTGATGCAAAACCACCATGAATATCCCAACACAACATCATAAACTCACACAAAAAGAAAATTCGGCCAAGCAAAAAACTTTCACAACTTCAAACCCGATTTCACCAAACAAGAGATTTCAACTTCCAAACATGCTCAAACACAACACAAGACACTCAACCAGATTTCGGATAAGTCTAAAATAACCACAAGGATCTCGGTCAAGGTAAGAACAAGAGCACAAGCTACTTGTATGTAAAGGATAGAGACAAGAAGAATCTTCAAGCATAAAATCTCTCCACCAACTTGAAGTTGAATCACCACTAAATCCCTTGTCAAGACTTTGATAAAGATTTCAAAGTAAAAGAAAAACCATTCCTCTCAATTGTTTTATTTCTATTTCATTATTTAACCTTATAAAATAAGAGAGAGATTGCTTTTATAATAGCATTACAAGAGTAATTAACTAATTAAGTGAAATAAATATGCCATCTAGGATAATTAACTAAACATAACAATATTTAATTAAATCCTACTAATAAGAGTACATGTGTTTAGGCCTTGGAATTCATTGAAGTGGCCTCGAAGTGAAATAGCATGGGAATGCTCTTTAGGCTTGGATAATTAGTTGTTTTAGACCTCTTGAATGCTTGAGCTTTTTCTTTGTTGGACTTGAACTTCACTAGATGAATTTGTGCTTGAATGGGCTTGGGCCGAAATGTCTCCTTTGTACACATAGGGGCCGAAATGTCTCCTTTGTACACATAGGCTAAGTTGTTTCCTTGCATAATTTAGGCTAATTCCTCTCCTTGAGCTTGGGCCAAATCTGACTTGCCTTCTTGGACAACTTGGGTTAGCTTCCTTCCTTGGGCTAGGGCTGAATTACAATTCTTGTGATCCGCATGCCATGTACCAAGTGTTTTAGGACTTGGATTGACTATTTTTTATTCAACCGAATTTGCAAGTGTGTTATGACTTGCAATTCCATTTCCACTCAAGTTCACAAGTGTTTTAGCACTTGTAAACGGATCAATAATGTGGACCATGTGGTACATATTCACAGATCATGTTGAATGTGGATATACTTTGAAGATGGTTGAATAAACCCTCTGGTTGCAGTAGTCTTCAGTGGAAAACATTTTCCTTAGTATATATATGTCGTGTTGTGATAAATTACTTTCTAACTTCGAGGTTTTGAGATTCTATGACTGATCTAATCTGAAAGCTTTGTAAAAGTAATCAGAATTAACACTAAGGGGGCGTTTGGATCATATGGAGATTTAATTGCTATTATCAATTGGGATGTCTTTTAGGACTTATTGCATATGCAATGCACCTCACAAATTAAATATAATTTACCCCCATAGAAAGGGGGTAAAGGTGTATGGGCAAAAAATCATCTTGGGCCTTATCAGGACCAAGCAAGTAACTTCTATTGTGTAGGCCCAACGTCGTGGCCTAATTCCGGTTAGTTCTATGTTAAAGTTCATGTCATGGGCCAGGCCCAAGGCCTAAACCCAGCTCCTCTTCATATTGGGTTTCACCACTAGCCCACCTAGGGCCAGGCCCATTGGTCTATGGTAACTTCTAAGGATCCAAAATCCCACTAAAATACTAATACATATACTTTCTATTTGGATTTACACTAATTCATTCAAGATCATGTATCTTATGTGAATTAGGACTATCAATCTTGAAAATTTACTAGAACTTTGCCAATACGGATTCAAAGTCCTACTAGGATTCAAAGATCCTATGACCACTATATAAAGAGAGGTCATGCCTCCCATTAAGCATTCAATCGCAATACCACCTATTAGCTCCTAGGCTTTTGCTCTTAAGAGCTATACACCTATGTCGTCATTCTAGTCTTCGACTAAACTTCCAGTAATCCTTCATTCCATTAGCCCTCACTAAATAGCCTCATTCAACCTTACTAACTTGAGCGTCAGAATGCCTATGGTAGAGACCACATCGGTGTTTACGTAAGCTTCTTGCTTGTTTACTTTGTGTGCATGTTCAGTGGATTGTTTGTGGCCTCAATCTCATAGGATCAGACCTCTTTCCGTAATAATAGATTTTACTATTTACAGTTTGGCGTCCATCGTGGGGCCTCTGGCAATCAACTCTCATTCAGGAATCTACTCTATAGAGAATTGCAACATGACTGAAACCACAGACAATGCCTTAGCAGACCTCACAGCTAAGGTCGAGGCTCTCTCTGCATTAATGCAGCAACACGCCGACAAGGTCATGACATTGGAAGTCGATAATATCAACATTCGAGCTAAGAACACCAACATTTAAGCCGAGAACCAAAACCTACGGGAAAAGGTAACACGATTCTACACTCTTAATTTCCTAATTAACCAAATACTAAAGAACCGCTTCTGTGTCCTAGTAAATTCCATGCAGCCTCTCATGACCCCAGACCCCAGATCCTCGGCTTCAGACCCTCAGTCTTCTAAGCTCCAATCATCCTTAATGGAGGGCTCGGTCCCCGCCATTACAAACACAACTGATCGAGCCATGCAAACACGAACCCTATCAGCTGAACCATCAATCACCGATGACCAAATTACTCAAACCATCCCCAGCCAACAACAACAAAATATCACTACCATCAACCATCCCATCAATATGAGTGATCCACCCTATATCCAAGTCCCACTCGATTCGACTCTTCCTTATTGGTCGAGCAGTCACCTTTACCAAACACCACTCGGCTCGACTCATCCTCATGGGTCGAGTGGTTCCCAAACTACCCCTTTACCATCCATGTTGGCAAAAGTACCCAAACTATTACACTCGGGATGACTCATCCTAAAGGGATGAACGGAGAACCCAACACCCTGTTAACCAACCACCAAGCTACACCCTATGACTCGGCTTGACCTAATACGCCAAATGGGAGACAAACCCATCACCAAGCCATCAATGTAGATCTCCTGTCCACCGCCACACCCCTTAAGTAAATACTGGCGAAGAAACTTGTCGACATGGAGGCCATGATGAGGCGTATACCTGGAGTCCTCAACCCAACCAAGAAAAGTCTTCCCTATAGCTATGCCGACTCACCCTTTGTTGACTCCATAGCTCTAGCTGGGATGCCTCACAAATTCTCCATTCCAAACATGAGGTCCTACGATAGCACGACCGACCCAAATGACCACATAGCGTCATACAAACAGCGGATGTTTGCCGCTTCAATACCAAGAAACTTGAGAGAAGCCTTCATGTGCAAGAGTTTCGGATCCAACCTCTTGGGACTGACTCTACAATGGTACACCAACCTCCCCCACAACACCATGGGTTCATTCGCCAGCTCATTGACACCTTCGTCAATCAGTTTGCCAACAACAAGAAATTAGAAAAGATATCAAATGACCTATATCGGGTCTATCAGAAATGGGGTGAACTGCTTCGAGAGTATGTCAGTTGGTTTAATAAAGAGAAGATATATGTCTTATCCTGCAATCTTGAAACAGTAGTGGATGCTTTCAAGAAGAGGCTCCTTGATAGGGGAACTTTATAAAGATCTCACCAAGCTCGGTTGCAACACCATGGAAGATGCCCTAGCCTGAGCAATCATCCAGATTAGGTTGGAGGAAGACGAGATGAACCGTAGGAGATACACACCCTATGATGACTGCCGACAAAATCGAAATGACAGGAGCCCTGAACCTCATCAGTATTAAGCAAATTATCTAGCTTTATCACGCGACTCCAATAGAAACAGTAGGAGACCGTATGACCACCAACCAGCTTGACTTGCAAACCAACCCTCTAGTTCTACACCATTCGTAGTCCTAGAGTACAACCTGGGTATCGAGCCGGCCTAAGTGGTAGCAATAATGAAGGGGGTGGGTCAAACAGTCAAGTGGTCGGCCAAGCTCAACCTTGACGTCAAGAAGGACACTACCAATTGGTGCGAGTTCCACCATGACCATGACCATGGCCATGGCCATAACATAGCTGACTGTATTGCTTTAAGGTTAGAGAGGTTGCATCCTTACTAAAGAGGGAACACTTCCGAGACCTGCTGACAGACAAAGGCAAGAACACCATGAACCATAGGAATTAGGGTTGTGCAAAACAGGGTACCCAAACCGATTTTGACCGAAAAACCGAGTACCCGAACCCAAAATAGTACCCGCAAACCGAACCGCTTTTTAGA